CACTCCAGCCTGGATGACAGAGCGAGACTCCATTTCAAAAAAAAAAAGAAAAAATTTCCGGAAAAAAAGCAAAATGAAGAAAGTTGTGGAGAGGCAGGATAGATAAAACAAGAATGGCAAATTGTTGAAGCTGAAGCTGGGTGATACAGACACGGGGATTCATTGTATCAGCTCTTGTGTTTGAAAATATTCATACTAAAAGTTTATTTTAAAAATGGAAACATTAAATAAAATAGAAAGTAAAAGATTTGCATTTACATAATGTTCTTCTACATAAAACAATCCTAAAGAACTTAGACAATTTAAAAAAATCATTTTTATTTTTAATCACATCTTAATTTTCATCTACCATTTTATATCTATATCTATATATAGATATATGCTTTTTTTAAAAGACAGAATCTTGCTATATTGCCCAGGCTAGCCTTGAACACCTGGGTTCAAGCAATCCTCCTGCCTTGGCCTCTTGAGAAGCTGGGATTACAGGTGCACACCACTGTGCCTGGCAAAGACAAAATATTAGAATAACAGAATTCAGCAAAGTTTTTGGTACAAGGTTGTTGTACAAAAATGCATAGTGTTGCTATACCCCAATAATAGCCAAATAGACAAAAAAGGATGTGAAAAACAAAACTATAAAACTATGAAAATAAAAACGAAGATCTTAATGACCTTAGGAGAGGGAAGGATTTCTTAAGAAAGCTACACATTTCAGATATCATAGCAATAGCTTGATAAATTTGACTACATTGAAATTAAAATCTAGAGAACAAAAGCCCCATAAACAAAGATGACAAGTGTCAACCTGGGAGAAGGTATTTACAAGATATATACCAAGTGTTAACCTAAAACAACCCAACTGGGTGCGGTGGTTCATGCCTGTAATCCCAGTACTTTGGGAGGCCGCGGCAGAAGGATAGCTTGAACTCACTAACAAATCTCAATAAATAGAATATCAATAAATAGTCTCAATAAATAGGTCTCAATAGAGTTTGAGACCAGCCTGGGCAACAAAGTGAGACTATCTCTCTCTTTAAAAAAATGTATATATTAAAAAACTCCACAATGAATAAATTTGGAAAAGAAAAGGAGACTTTATGGCCTGCTTGGTGGCCATCCCACAGGCTGGGAAGCTGCCTCCAGAAACAGGCACTTTGAAGGAAGAGGGTTTGGAGTAGGAGCTTTATGCTGAATAGGTTGGCTAAACATGTATTTTCAGCAGGTTACTGGAAGAGCTATGAATATTCATGAAAGTGGTCCTGACACATGCGTATTGAACATTCATGTAACATATGACACATTCACTTTGAGATGGAGACTAAATTTTTTGTTGTTGTTGAGATGGAGTCTCGCTTTGTTGCCCAGGCTAGAGTGCAATGGTGCAATCTCAGCTCACTGCAATCTCTGCCTCTTGAGTTCAAGTAATTCTCCTGCCTTTGCATCCTGAGTAGCTGGTATTACAGGAGCCCACCACTACTCCTGACTAATTTTTGTATTTTTAGTAGAGACGGGGTTTCCCCATGTTGGCCAGGCTGGTCTCAAACTCCTAACCTCGTGATCCACCCACCTCAGCCTCTCAAAGTTCTGGGATTACAGGCATAAGCCACCACACCCAGCCAGGACTTAACATTTAAATGTATTACAATGAACGCTATACGTCAAAAGGTCTTTCAGGACATGAAGCCATGCAAATGTGCAACCTCTGTAAATTAGCCAGAACCAGTCCATGACTGGTGGTCTTTTCATCTGGAGAAATTTACTGAAAAAAGCTGTGGCTGGGTGCGGTGGCTCAAGCCTATAATCCCAGCACTTTAGGAGGCAGAAGTGGGGCAGATCACAAGGTCAGGAGTTTGAGATCAGCCTGGCCAATATGGTGAAACCCGGTCTCTACTAAAAAGACAATTAGCCGGGCGTGGTAGTGGGTGCTTGTAGTCTCAACTATTTGGAAGGCTGAGGCAGGAGAATGGAGGTTGCAGTGAGCTGAGATCACGCCACTGCACTCCAACCTGGGCCATGGAGTGAGACTGTTTCAAAAAGGAAAAAAAAAAAAAAGTTGTCCAGTGAAAGCTATGGCTATGGCTGGTGGAACAGCAGCTGCGGATCAGTAAGTCAGCATCTGGTGGAGCTGCACAGTGTTTTAATACTGCTTATTTTGAGGCCAGTACTTGTTTAGCTGCTAGAGAAGAATCTTGTGGCAGTTAGAACACAGTTTATTCTTTAAGTATAGGGGTGTGTGACTCAACCCTTGCCTGGAATGGCTTTAGGTCTTGTTTATAATTTGGCTCTTATTGCCAGAGTCTGTTCTGTCAGTCTTATGATCTCTGTTTCAACATTAATGCTGGCTAGTTGTTATGTCTAAACCACAAAAGGAAGGGAGTATAACAAAGTGTGTCTAACCTGACCCACCATGGTCCAGAACTGTTTTAAGGCTTTCTAGGATCCCCATGGTCACAAGGGGGCCCATTCTGTTGGTGGGGGATTTAGGAGTTTACTTTTAGTTTATACAGGTGAATGAATAGAGCAGGCTATCTAAACGATGTACACATCATTTGTGAAAGAAAACCCCATAACAAACTTCATAAAAGTTAAGAGTGGACAGTTCACAGAAAAGGAAATAAGGTTTCATAAGTATGGAAAAAGGCACCACTTTGTTAGGGAAATGTAAATTACAATTTTCACAGTAGTAAAAATGGTAAGAGTGTGACCATATCTAGTGTTGGCGAGAATATGGAGAGCAAAGAGAACTCATCAATGCTAGCAAGGGTGTAAACTGGTCAAATAGTACATACATTATTAAAGATATTCTTGAGGCTGGGCGAGGTGGTTCATGCCTGTAATCTCAACACTTTGGGAGGCAGAGGTGGGCGGATTGCTTGAACTCAGAAGTTTGAGGTCAGTCTGGGCAACATGGCAAAATCCTATCTCTACAAAAAATACAAAAATTAGCTGAGTGTGGTGGTGGGTGCCTTTAGTCTCAGCTACTGGGGGCAGAGGCAGGAGGATTGCTTAAACCTGGGAGATCAAGCGGCAGTAAGCTGAGATGGTGCCACTGCAATCCAGCCTAGAGAACAAACTGAGCCCCTGTCTGAAAAGAAAAAGAGAGACTGAGATTTTTGCATATATGCACAAGGAGACCCCATACAAGGATATATTTTATGTAAACAATTGAAACAACCCAAATTTTGTTCATCCTTAGGGAAATGGAAAAATAAATTGTGATATACATATTTATTCAAGGAAATACCATGGCTATATCCTCAAATAGTAATGTCCAATAAGAAGTGATTTGCACAACATTAGAGTACAGCAAGTTTACATACATTTTTTAAAAAACAACAAAATTACACTAAACGCATGTATCTATAAATATGTTTAAGCATCATAAAAGTAAAAAAAAAAGTGGACTAGAATTCCACTTTTATAAAAATAAAAGAAAGTAAAATTTTATACCTATAAAATTCATGGTAGAAGTGGCCTATGCTGAGGGAGGAAAATGAAGCAGGGAAGAAAGAGAAATTTAATTCTATAATATTTAATTTCTTTTGAAAAATCTGGGACAAAAATAAAAAATGCTAAATTTTTAAATTTTTGGTAACAGGTCACAAATGTTTGTTTCATAATTACTTGCACTTTTTGAATAAAAAAAATCTTTCCGAAATTAAAAAAAATTGGCCATTTGTCACGGTGATTTTCTTAAAAGTCTAGTGGGATACAGAAGACTCGCTTTTCATTTTATTTTGTTTGAGACGGAGTCTCGCATTGTCGCCTGGGCTGGTGTGCAGTGGCACGATCTCGGCCTCCCGGTTTCAGGCGATTCTCCCGCCTCAGCCTCTGGAGTAGCTGGGATTACAGGCGCTGGTCTTGAACTCCTGATCTCGTGATCCCCCCGCCTCTGCCTCCCAAAGTGCTGGGATTACAGGCTTGAGCCCCCACGCCCGGCCTTATTTTAGTTTTTATGTCAATTTTTGAATTGGTAATTGGATGAGAATAAAAGTGTTATTAAAAAATAAATAACATTCACCTTAAATGAAAATTTGTTAGATTTCTGGTGACAAAAGTAGTCACATATGACGTCAGGGGATTTCATAATCTTTTTCTGGGCTTGCGTCCGGGAGGGTTCCTGTATTATGCAATCTGTAGTAATATCCAGCCACGAGCAGTTTGGAGGATTCTGGGAAGCACATTTGTTTTGCTTACCTGCCATGGGAAAGATTCCACGTGGTCCTAGAGGCATACGTGTTCTTAAGTTACAGTATTTTAAATATTCACTGGCCGCTGAAATTTAAAATAGATGAAAAAGAAATTCTCTTAAGTAGCTTTCTTGAAACTGCTTTATCAAACTCAATTCATATTTTCAGCTGGAGTTCGTGATGTGTGTGAATTTCTTTTAAATAAAATCCGAATCTTTAGTAATAGAAAGATTGGGCACTTCGATTACTGTAGGTCGCTTGGACTTTGATTAAATACTATGTTTAGGATATTTATCTTTAGGAGATAAATTTTGGGAGTTTATCTTTTACATTTGCTTCATTTAAATAAAAGTAGGCTTCCTAGAAGTTATGTTTTATAGTACCATTTACCTCGGATACTGTGCCATTAAACAGTTTTAACGAATGTGGAAAAATAGTAGTGTTTTTCCGTCATACACGCGTATTTGAAGACTTTTTACACTGGTAGAGAATTATTCATAAAAATTAAACTAAATTTACTGTTAGCCTCTAATTTTGTTCTGAGGGCTCTCCGCTGCGGTATTAAGAAAGATAATCAAGGAATAAGCCAGAATGTTCAGAAAGGGGCTTTACTTTTAATTTTTAATATTATTGATAAATTTCGTTTAGTCGAAGCGATGTCTGCGTGTCTCCCCCCTCCTCCCCCATAAAACAGCGGGGCAGAAAGTCCTGGAAACTCCAAAAGGTAAATATTTACTCAGAGGTCTATTTAAATTTGCTTAGTTTCTGATGTTCTCCTGTCTCGTACAAAGCCCTCCTGCGGCAGAAGCAGTTTGTCTTTAATCGGCCACCGTCTCATCAGCGTTACAGAGTATTTTGTCCGCCGGCCGCCGCCGTCCCAGATATTAGTCACCGAGTTCCAGGGCAGAGGAACTTGTGATATGGGGGAGCCGGTTGGTGTTGCCGGCACCATGGAGTCACCTTTTAGTCCGGGACTCTCTCACCGGCTGGATGAAGATTGGGGTGAGTGTGATCTGAGAATGTACCAGGGTGGCTCGCGTTCGCGTCTACAGGTTTCTTCCTTCCTACTTCCGCTACTCCTGGTGACAGGTGTGGACCAACCCTGCCTGGCGAGTGAGGCCACTCGTCACTCCCGTCCGTGCTCCTCACAGAGTCTGGGAGGATCGTTCGGCTTCTGTCCTGGCCACAGGGCGAGTAGAATATAGTCTAACTGGAGTTAGTATCGTTTTTCACTGTTTCCGCTGGGCAAGTACCAGGTGATCTTTTTGTGGGGCTAACACAGGACGTTATTAGGAGGTTTAGGGCAAAATGGCTGGGACCGCCAAAAAGGTTGCAAGCTATTCCTGAGTGTGAAATGTGGGCGGTGAGCACAGTGGAGTGGGTGTATATGAGAGAATGTGGTTATATACAAGAAATCCTAATGTTACAGCTTTCACTATTGGTTTAAGCCTCATGTCCATCTTGGGAGAAAAGAAAGCACCGAAGCACCTGACCTCGGGTCCCTGCTTTGCTAGACCTAATACTTATGATGCAATCCCGACTGCTCCGCAGATACAGCTCTTAATTTTCTTGTTAATGGATATTTTGTTTCGTTTTGGTGGTCAGGAAGGGTGGAATGGAATGAAGTGGAAATGAGAGTGGAGAAGCTTTGTTATCTAAGTATTTAGAGGAAACTTTTATTCTCCTCTTGATTGCAAGATATAAAAGTAATATTGTTCTTAGGTTCCAATATGAATTTGGGATTGTGTAGGTTTCCAAATGGGCCCCCAGTGAGCCTACACCACTCACTCATCAGCCTTGGAACTCGGGGGAACCCCATTTATCTTTCTCCTTTGGACCAGCATTCTCAATAGCATGAGTGGAAGGAATCTCAACTTTTTATTGAACAAAGTCATCATTTAATTTTTTTCAAGGGCAGATGTTCTCTAAAACTATATTCTATTGGAGATTTATTTCAATCCTTGGGTAGATTTTCTAAGAGTCGCTGGAAAGCTTTAGACTTTCTATTCTCATTTTCCGAAGCCAAATGTATTAGGAACAGTGTGTTAGCTACCATTTATCTGGCACTTTATTTGTGTCAGGCACCCTGCTAAACTCTTTACATGCAGTATTTTGTTTAATCCTCCCAACAGTCCAATGAGGTACTGTTATTTTAGAGCTGAGGAAACTGAGGCTTACAGAATTTGTGCTCAGATTCTTAGAGCTAGTTAGTGGCAGAAGAAGGTTCAGACCAGGTTTTTCTACCTCGAAAGCCTGTACCCCTAGTATCTATTCTATAAGGCTTTCCTAACTCGTTTCTACAGATTTTATTCTTCATAAGATCCCTGGTTATTAATAACACTACTTGAATATATTGGGTAGTTATGATTTGTTTTGTCAGCTAGTCAGCTATTATATTTTCATGACCTTGCTTAAACTATAACTGTGGGACACTTCCTGGTATCATTATTTTGTGTTGTCTTCTGATACCTAGGCTGCATTTTCCTGTCTGATCTGATCACTTGATTTAATGTTCTCTAACAGAGCATTCAGTTCTTTATAGTCAGTTCACTGACACTCCTATCAGGTGTCTGGCCCTGCCATTCCCTGAATGTGCGCATTTCCATTGTTTTCCAGTTTTCCCTTTTCAAACTGTCAGTCTTCTCTTTGAACAGTTTAGTTTAAATTCCTCAGGTGTTCAGTAAGTAGGATAGAGTTTGTTGGCAATAGACTGAAACACTAATGTCTGTTTGTGTTTCATTCTGTGAGAGTTGCTTTGGGTGTTCAAGTACTTCACTGATTTACTTGATTTTTTTTTCTTTTAGAGACAGGCTGTCGCCCAGGCTGAAGTGCAGTGGTGCAATCATAGTTTACTGTGACCTGGAACTCCTGGGCTCAAGTGATCCTTCCAACTCAGCCTCCTGAGTTGCTAGGACTACAGGTGCATGCTACCACCAGGCCTGGTTAATTGTTAATTTGCCAAAGGTTTTGCTGTGTTGCCCAGGCTGGTCTCCAACTGGCCTCAGGCAGTCATCCTGCCTTAACCTCCCAAGGTGCTAGGATTACAGGCTCAAACCACTGTGCCTAGCTTTGATTTTTTTTTTGTTTTTGGAGATGGAATGTTGGTCTGTTGCCAAGCGGGAGTGTAGTGGCAGAATCTCAGCTTACTGCAACCTCTGCCGCCTGGATGCAAACGACCCTCCTGTCTCAGCCTCCCAGGCAGCTGCGACTGACTACAGGGACATGCTACCATGCCCATCTAATTTTTTGTATTTTTAGTAGAGACGGGGTTTCACCATGTTGAGCAGGATGGTCTTGATTTCTTGACCTCATGATCCCCTGCCTCAGCCTCCTGAAGTGTTGGGATTACAGACATGAGCCACTGTGCCTGGCCATTTTTTTTTTCAATATCAGAAACTAGTTAAAATTTAAAAATCAGATTATGTAATTAGTATGTCTTGTGATTTTAACAACTCTAAATGATTTAAATAAGTGATTAACTCAACAACCTGTGAGGGATGTGCTTTCCTTTTTTTTTTTTTAAACTTAGTTAATGAAATTTAGAGCTTAGTTAATGAAATTTAGAGCAACGGTCTTCAAACATTTTCTGTAAAGGTCCAGATGGTAAATATTTTAGGTTTTGTTACTACATGGTCACTGTTGCAACTACTCAAGTCTGCTGTTACAGTGTAGAAGCTGCCAGGCACAATATAGACAAGTGAGCGTGGCTGTATTCCTATAAAGCTTTATGGACACTGAAATGCAATTTCACATAATTATTTTAAATAATAGGCCTTGTAATCCCAGCACTTTGGGAGGCTGAGGCAGGTGGATCACGAGGTCAAGAGATCGAGACCATCCTGGTCAACATGGTGAAACCCCGTCACAACTAAAAATGCAAAATAAAAATTAGCTGGGCATGGTGGCGCGTGCCTGTAATCCCAGCTACTCAGGAGGCGGAGGCAGGAGAACTGCCTGAACCCAGGAGGCAGAGGTTGCGGTGAGCCGAGATCGCGCCATTGCACTCCAGCCTGGGTAATAAGAGTGAAACGCCGTCTCAAAAAAAAAAAAAAAAAAAATAGGCTTACTTTTTTAGTATAATTATAGATTTACACAATAATTGAGCAGACAGTACAAAGAGTTCCATGTACTTCCCCTCCATCCCCAGTTTCTCCTACTGGTAGCATCTTGCATTAGTGTGGTACTTTGGTTACAATTGATGAGCCAGTATTGATATATTATTATTAACTAAGCCCATAGTTTAAAGTTGATTGTGTTATACATTCTATGGCAGGGGTCCCCAGCTTTTGACACCAGGGACTGGTTTCATGAAAGACAATTTTCCCATGGGGGCTGGGGGCAGGGAGACACGAGAGATGTTTTTGGGATGAGTCAAATGCATTACGTTTTTGGTGCACTTTATTTCTATTATTGTTACACTGTAATATATAATGAAATAATTATACAACTCACCATTATATAGAATTAGGAGGAGCCCTGAGCTTGTTTTCCTGCGACTAGACCATCTCATCTGGAGGTGATGGGAAACAGTGATTAGATCATCAGGCATTAGATTCTCATAAGGAGCATGCAACCTAGATCCCTTGCGTGTGCAGTTCACAATAGGGTTCACACTCCATGAGAATCTAATGCTGCTGCTTGCTGATCTGACAGGAGGTGAAGCTCAGGTGGTAATGCAAGCGATGGGGAAGGCGGTAAATACAGATGAAGCTTCGCTGACTCACCCACCTGCTGCTCACCTCCTTAACAGGCCACGGACCAGTAGCCCTGGGAACAGTGGTTGGGAACCCCTGTTCTGTGGGTTTTGAAAAATGTATAATGACATGTATTCATAATTACAGTATCATACAGAATAGTTTCACAGCCCTAAAAAAGTCCTACGCTCTACCTGTTTTTCCTTCCTCCTTTTCCCTACCTCTGGGATCTTTTTCCCTGCCTCCAGGATCTTTTCACTGTCTCCATAGTTTTGCCCTTTGCAGAATGTCATATAGTTGGAATCATACAGTATGTAGTATTTTTGAATTGGCTTCTTTCACTTAGCAATATGCACTTAAGGTCCCTCCATGTTTTTTCATGGTTTGATAGCTCCTTTCTTTTTAGCACTAAATAGTATTACATTGGCCGGGCGCGGCGGCTCAAGCCTGTAATCCCAGCACTTTGGGAGGCCGAGGCGGGTGGATCACGAGGTCAAGAGATCGAGACCATTCTGGTCAACATGTTGAAACCTCGTCTCTACTAAAAATACAAAAAAATTAGCTGGGCATGGTGGTGCGTGCCTGTAATCCCAGCTACTCAGGAGGCTGAGGCAGGAGAATTGTCTGAACCCAGGAGGTGGAGGTTGCGGTGAGCCGAGATCGCACCATTGCACTCCAGCCTGGGTAACAAGAGCGAAACTCTGTCTCAAAAAAAAAAAAAATAGTATTACATTGTATGCATGTTCCACAGCCTATTAGTCTGCCTGGGCTGTCGTAAGAAAACACCACAGACTGAGTGGTCTAAACAAGAGAAATTTTTTTCTCACAGTTCTGGAGGTTAGAGTTCAAGATCAGGATGGCAGCATGCTCAGGTTCTGCTTAGGGCGCTCTTCCTGTCTTGCACATGGCTGCCTTCTTGTGTACTCACATGGCATTGAGAGAGAGAATTTTCTTCTTCTTTTTTTTTTGAGACAGAGTTTCACTCTTGTTACCCAGGCTGGAGTGCAATGGCGCGATCTCGGCTCACTGCAACCTCCGCCTCCTGGGTTCAGGCAATTCTCCTGCCTCAGCCTCCTGAGCAGCTAGGATTACAGGCACGCGCCACCATGCCCAGCTAATTTTTGTATTTTTAGTAGAGACGGGGTTTTCACCATGTTGACCAGGATGGTCTCGATCTCTTGACCTCGTGATCCACCCGCCTCGGCCTCCAAAAGTGCTGGGATTACAGGCTTGAGCCACTGCGTGCCCGGCCGAGAATTTTCTTCTTATAAAGCCACAGTCGTATCAGATTGGGACCCCACTTTTATG